ATCAAAGGCACAAATTGGGTAGAATTATTGGACTTCTTTCTAGGGCAAATTAGGTTCACCGGGAAGTGGATGGTGGGTTGGTTTCTGTCTAATTTCTTCAATGAACAGCTCCATGTTCCGGCGACCTGAGCCCAGCCCTCCTCCTCCAATCTCTCAAAATGGAACTTCAGCTCAGGCTCTCCAGCTACAAAATAAAACTCTCCAGATGAGGCAGGAGCCGTACTCCCAGATGGTATTGTCAATACAACCAATGGGAAGAGAGTGGGGCTTCTAAAATGAAGCGAGAAGTGGCAGGGATTTTTTTTTTTTTAGGTCTTTTGTTTTTAGAGAATGTGGCCCCATTTGGGATCCTGACCAGGTCCTACACGGCGAGACTGCCACCTTCTCCTTGGCCGGACACAAGGCTGCCCTGAGTAATATTTGTTTCAATGGATCTTCGTCTTATCTGTTTCTTCCTGCTCAGCGGGTCAGAGTTGGTGAATGCCTTGCAATCTTGCTTTTCATTTTCATTTTTGGACTCTCTGGTCATAGGACTAGGAGTTGGGACCCCCTGCAAGAACCCAGGATCCATCTCAGAAACTAATTTGTCATCATTCCGTTGTGACTTTTATTTTCTTCAGTGTTGGTGGCTGAGGTAAATGTGGTCAGCGTGGGCAGGAAGGCACATGTCAGCTTTATCAGAAGCTGGACGTGTGGTCGGGACACATGCTTGGACCCTCTCCCGGTGAGAAAGTCCCTCCCTTCCCCTTCCTTTCCTCCCTCCCTCCCTTCCTTCCTTCCTTCCTATATTTACTAAGGGCTTATTATGGGCTTAGTCCTGAACCGGAAGAAACCGCGTAAGGGTGAATGGCCACTTCATTCAGGGATGCAGGTGTTTCCCTCCGGCTCACCCGACCCCTCACTCCCTACTCCTTCAGTAATATTTGAAATATTGAGGAGTTTAAGCAAACGTATGTACTCCTTGAAGAATATGGATTCCACCCCAGCTCATTACTTGTAGACATGCCAGAGACGTCGCATTTGGACAATTCCCACGGGAACATCTTTGTAGGGGAGATTTGTTCAGCCGGAGCCCATCTTGCAGGTTGGAGTGGCACCTGCCCCTTGCTCTGGATAAACCTGGATACGCTGCCATGATCTCACCTCCATGCATCCGGACTGCCAGAACGGAGCTGTCCCTGTCACTTACTGTGTTGCACCAAAGGGTCTGTAGACTTGATAATGTGCTGCTTCCACAGATATTTCACTCCAGTCATTTGTAATAAAATCTATGAAAAGAGGACCAGGGCTGGCCCACAAGCAAGCTCAGAGCAAAGGGTTTCCTCAATCATTCTTATCTTTGACAAGAGGTCTTATTTTAGCATTGCGTGAGATTTACTACACTCGAGTACTACACTCGAGTTTTCTTCGCTCCGTCACCTGTATCACAGCTGAAAGGTCTCTAAGTAGCTGAGTCACTGTGGACTAAAGGGAGATGGAAGGCAAAGGGGATGGAAGCCCCACGGGGTTTCCAGACCAGGATGTCTACCACTAGGCTTCGCTCACTGTAGGAGCCAGAAGGATCCAGCCCCTACTGCAAAGACAGTTGGAGAAGACAACCAGCAGAAGTAAAATGAAAATAAGCACATTTCCATTATCCAGGTTGGCAGAGCAAAGGAGTTCTGCCGAGTTTGGCACAAGTCGGTAGGAACTGTCAAGTCCAGGCTTTCTTTCATACTCACCTCTGTCAACGTTCTCCTTTTAGACAGCAGGCCATGTGTGCTGGAGACACGGGTCTGTGGCCTGAGCCTCTCTTTCCAGGCAGCCCCCTCGGAGCATGTCTGCCAGGCTGCAGACCTGGAGCCCCACGCTGAGCCCGGGCATCAGGGGCAGCGTGAAGATGAGTTTGGAGAGTGTTTTCAAACAAGCAGGTAGTGGGTGTTCCATAAATGCCCCAAATTTCCTCAGTTTGCCTGAGTTAGCGTCTCAGGAAAAGTCCATTAAGAATGGCTTCCTCCTTCTGTCATTATGAACATTTATAGACTCTTCCACTTATTTTTTTTTTACTATTGTTTTCTTTTTTTAGTAAGTAATTATGCCTCACCAAGTGATAATGAGGCAGAGCCTAACCCAGCTTATATAAGAAATACAAATTAAGGTCCTGAATCCTTCCGCGAATGCTTAGGCAGAAAAGTTGAAACTACTTGTGTTTCTTGGTAACTGCTATTCTCATTTTCTCCAAAACTGAGTTACCTGCCATCAGACATTTGCCAACAGCCTCACTTCATTTTATAGATGAATGTTACTGCTTGCAAGAGATGCTTTCCTCTTCTTCCAGACTCACAAAATCACAGCCTTTGATAATGAGTCCTGGTGACACCAATACAGACACCCAAACACTTGACGTTATTCAGTGACTCTTGGCAGAAAGGAAAAACATCTCACTTGAACATGTAAAATACTATAAAAATATGTATCTTAATCCCTGTCATGAGAAATTTTTTTAACTGATTTTCATTTGTACTTAACAGTTTTACTTTTAGAGAAGATGCATGAAAATATACAACGTTCTCCATAAACCAAACCTAGGAGATTAAGTTTTGCCCCAAGTGAAATAGCTAAATTCAGTGGATTTTAATTACTTTTGTCCCAGTGGGCTTCCCCCACCCCTTAATTTCTTATATTCTCCCCTTAGGTTGCAATCATTAATTTGCAAGTTGAGTCCCACACTATCCATGAAATTAAGCAGAATGTATGACAGGCGAGGAGATCAAGTGCCACCTTTTGACTGAGCAGGTAAAGAAAGGTTGTTTTCCCCAACGTCAGCTGGTGTCGACGACGGAGGTGGTCACCTGTGGTTGTGCCTCAGCTCTGCTGGGCCTCTAGCTCACTCGCCTTCGTGTCGTTAGGATCCAATGTTTCTTGTGGAGATAGGCTACTAGGCATCTTTTTGGGCAGTTCCCGTGCCCTATTTTTCATTCCCAGGCTGTTCAGAAACTGCATTTTCTTGACTACAAATAACACCAGCCCATGGATACATTTTTACAGGGCAGCAATAACTTACAAGAATATGTTTTTTTCTTGAATAAATCCCCAGGCCTTGGAAGTCGCCCCTCTCCGCCCACTGAGTTTGCTCTATATTGCTTTCCCTACCCGCTCTTTTGGGGGCTGAGTTTCTAAATGTAAAGCTTAATGCTCAACTGCTGTAAGCAACATTCTTACTTACTGAAAGCTGCCTTAATGTTGGCTTACACATGGAATGGAAATGGCTTGTGTTATCCAGCCTTTAAAATTTTTCTAGTGCTCAGCCTCCATGAAATGGATTGCTTATGGGGAGATAATGTCTGTTCTATTCCTTTTTAAGTCTGTGAAAAATGTCATCCTGGTTAATAGGGTGATTAAAACTCTTTATGCTCCAGGAGATAAATGTGATTATGTTTGTCATACTCTACCCAAGATAAAGACAGCAAAGAAGGCAAACTTGAAATTCCATAACATTTCCTCTCTTCCATATCCAGAAACATTCAGAACTCAATACGCAGATGGTGCTTCACAGAAAGAATAACATTATCTGTTAAAACGTTTTTCTTTCCATTAACCAATTTAACAATATGCTTCTGGCATAAAAGGAATAGACAAATGACTAAATCTTCTGATATCTGAGTTTTGAGTATGGAAAAATACCACTTTAGTCACATTGATTTTTCTTTCCAATTTTCATCTTTGTTACTTTATTTTTGCTTTTAAAATGCCACAGGAGCCTATGCTTAGTACCTTTTCTAGGGACTCTGTCCCTGTCAACCTGCCCTCAGCAGGTGACTCACGAGCATTGTTATGTGAGTCCCCTGCCATCCCTCGGGGACAACAGACACTTGTGGAAAGGGTTTTGTAAGCAGACCCGCCACACAGCATGTATTCAGGTTCAGGCCTCCCACGTGCCAGCACAGAGTGCGCCCACCAGGCCCTGGCTTCTTCCTAGGGTCTGGCTGCCGTCAGCCCCTGCAGGGGGGCTGGCACAAGTTTCCAGTGCCGGATAGGAGTCCCTGCCCTCAAGGAGCTTATGAGGCAGGAATCTATTAAATAGATTTATGGTTAATAATGATATTTCCTTTTTTTTATCCCAGGGAAGCTAGAAATTCTCATTTTCTCCTACCCAGTGGAGGGCTTTTAAAAATTCAGTTATTCTCCATCTAAGAGAAATAAAAATCGAGGTTCCAGTTGTAAATAGTTTTAGGTAGCTCCCACTCTTATCTACTACGGGGATCCTAGACTCAGACTAACAATATGGACAAAAACCTACTCAATTTGCTCCTGCATTTCTGTCCTTTATTTCATTCAAAGGCTAGTTTGGGGGAGGTCATCAAGAAGGCATGACCACTGAGTGACCTGAGAGCTGGATCCGGGCCACTGGGGGCTCCCCGTCCCTGAAATGTGCATTCCACTTGCCCTTGTGGCTCCCAGAAACTGCCCGAAGGACACAGCCTTGAGGTGAGGTAGAAATGTGGTGTTGGGACTATCTGGATGGTGTACGTGACTGACCAGAAAGGGGCTCTAAATAAGAATTGGAGGGCGGGTGTGGGCAACTATTGTCTTGCAGCCGCTCAAGACAAGCCTCCTAATCAAGTTTCTTTGATCAGCGAACCTGCCACCTACCAACCTGGAGGGCCTGCCTCTTTCTTTGGTCTCTCCCTGCCCTCCTAGTAAGGGGGCTGGTTTCAGATTTCACCTGGGAAGCTCTCAAGGGGGTTGTGAAGCAACAGCTAGAAATCTTTTCTTAGCAGGAATTTAGTTAAAAGTCAAAAATGGGTGAAGAGTTTTGGGCTCCACATCCCTGATAAACTTCACAAGTGTTTCCATTTAGTCTTGGATTTTTAACAGGTTACACATGAAACCCAGACGCTGATTATACCTATTGAATTAATTAACAACACAACAGTTTTAACAGGGTAATGTGGTCCAGAGAAAAATGTTAACGTTATGCACTTGACATTTCATTTAAAAATTTCCTTAGAACTGAAAGGTTTCATTATAATAGAGTAATTTCAAATAAACTTTATTAAGCCTGATTGCTAATTAGGGCCTAAGCAATTACAAAGAAATTGCACAATTGATATTCAATGAGAGGTTATTTTTCTGAACACACTAACATATTAAGGTATTTTTCTTGAAAAATTTTAAGTCTCAGTAAAAATAATTGCATGTAGACATTATTCTGTGTTTTCTGTAAGAGCTCATGGAGGACAGGATAGGTTTGGGTGTGTATCTAAGGATTTACCAGTAGCAGTTTCATCAGCAAGGCGGTACTAAATACGTAATATTGAGACAGTACTCAAGTAACTTCCTGGTTAAAAAATATGTGTTAACATAGGTGACAACAGGGCTATTTGTATGTTGACAACAGACAAAACTACAAACTGTCAGTCACTGTTTAGGGACCCAGAAGCAATTTCTCAAAATAGTACATGTTATATCCATGATTCTTATTTTAGCATAACTATACCTTTTCAAGTTATCATAATCTGTTACTGGCTTCTAGTCTAAGAATTTGCAGGACCTGAAGGCGAGGTTATCAGGTAGCTAACTGGCACGTGGAAATCAAAGGCAGCAGAGCCGCACCCGACGTCTGATGTACGGGATTTGCCCACTGGCCTGTCACTTTGGAGTCGGCCTCATAGGAGCAAGTCTCTCAGGTTCTGACAGTCACATACTGACAAGAAAGGCTGCTGAAATTCATTTAATTTAGACACACTGAGGTACTGCTGCTGTTAGGAGTCTGTTTATAAAGATTTTCCATTGTAGGGTATTATAAATTTTTTCAGGTATAAAACTTGGTTTTAATCATAAACAGAAGTATCTCCCTGGGGATCTCCTCCACACAGAGAAGTTATCCATATAATTATTTTTAAACAGTCTTCCTAACTTTGGGAAAACTTTACCCTTCCCCCAACACCGCACGCGCGCGCCCACGTGCATTTCAAAATAAAGCACACAAAAAGATGGTTGGCCACCGGTGAAGACACTGAACGTCACCCATCCTGTGGGTTCAGACAACAATCTGCACATCTTCCTGAGGAGAAATCAATGTGTCCCTTTGCTGTTGGGCTTCTCCAAAGCCACCCTTTCTGGAACAATCCTTTTGGAATTCATCCACCATGCTCATCTCATTTGGATTTCAATACTTCCTCCCACTCAACAGCAGGTTCAGGCTTCTTGGGAATTGCTGGAAATATTGATTGCATTTTACTTCGAAAGTCTTTCATCTAAAAGATAGAAAAAAAAATCCATCATCAAATGTTAAAAGAAGGGGACAATAGCCAAAGATTAGAGACAGACACCGCTGCTGACTGGATAATACTTCATTGCTTGTGGGTACAGAGCAAAGAAAGACCAATAAAAGGCAAGAAACTGTATCCCAGCTGCCTTGAAAGAAAATGAGATACACCTCTTTCTTCTTTCACATATAAATCTATGGGCCTTAAACAACATAAAGCTCTACTCTGTGTCTGGAACGCAACAGACTGAACTGTCAGCCCTCCATGATATTTATCCCCTACCAGGAGAACTCTGTATTGTTGGCTTTCATATATAAAGATGCAGCTGAGAACGAGATTTCTGTCTACCTGAATACATGAATATACTCAGGCCATTCAGAGCTAGAAGAATTTTAGAGCCGGAGGGAAGAAACGTAGTAGGGGGTAATCAAAGAACAAATCACTGAATGGCAGATAAACTAGAATGTTTTTATGTGCCAGTGTTGAAAAATCTAGGTAGAAGTTTTACCGGGAGGTTTGGAATCTGTGAGTTAGAGTAGGGGCTGGAGAACCTCAACAGCAGGCCCCTGGCTCACCGGAGAGGGAGGGAACACTAGCTGTGGGGGTGGGTAGCTTTTACACTGGACGGTACTGGCTCCATGCTCTTTGGTTCATTCTTTTTCATTGATACGGTCCTGTTATGAAGATTGTTCAGAAGCACCACAGCACAGCATGACAATCTTCTCATCAGCCGTATCCCAGCCGTATTTCCCAGGGACACAGCACTCCTCGAGGGGGTTGTGAAGTTCGCACCCTGGACCATCAGCAATGTTCCTTCTCAGAGCGGTTACGCTGAGAGTTGGCTAATTATTTTTATGTTGATGCTTATTTAATTTGAAGCTGAATTCTTACCTTGTTTCCAAATGCAGAGGGTGCATCTTGTGCGGGACTTGCAAAGTCCTAGGCATTTACTCCGGTCGTCTTAGCACTGCTGTTAGTCTATGCTCAAACCCTAGCCCCAGCTCTTGGGAAAGTTGCTTACTGTCTCTAAGTGGTCGTTTCCATGGGTGTAGAATGGGGATTATTACCTGCTCAAGGGGTTGTGAGGATTAAGTGAGATAATGCGTATAAAGCACAGCACCTAACACACGTTAAGTGCTCAATATATATTAGCTATGGTCATTACAGTATCATCAAAATATATGCTGTTTCCAGGACAAAGCTTATATGGATATAGATATGGCATGCTTATTAAAAGCATTATTTACAGTAATGTATCATTTTGTTTTAAATATTCTGACACTGTAAGATATCTAAAGTTAGCCATTACATGGAGTCTGTAAGGGGTCCACGCCAACCATCTCAGTGTCGGGTCCCAGACGCCAATCTGGAAGACACACATGTCCATGGGACGTCTACCCTGCCTTCCGTGCAACTGTCTAGTTTGTACCGTGGTGATGAACCCTTCATGAGAGGTTCTTAACTACAGGCAGGACTGCATCCCTGGGGAGGGATGGCAGTGCAGGGTTTGGGGGCTGTCACAATCGCAGGGCATTACTACTTTCATTTGGTACGGATGTGAGATGTCCAGGGTGGCCCACAGAAAGAACTGCTTTGCCCAAAATCCCACCAGTGCCCGGTGAGGGGCCTCGCATACGCCTTCCTCGGCCAGAGGCAGAGGTCTCCCTCGCTGTGGCTCGCAACGCGCGGCTTGGCTCTCCCGCTTCACTTTTCTGGTTGAACATGTTACATCTGAGCCTGCTGACAGAGCTTCCAAATGGAGTGGCAGAGGCCAAGACACGAACAGAACCACTCATCTACCATCCCACCTGTCAGTGACACGGAACGTGGCCGTCGCTGACAAGGGGAGGTCGGGGAACGCAGATGAGGCCGGGGTAGGTGAGTGAAGGACGGCAGCTCCCCTGCAGCGAGCTTCTGTCCCCATTTTTTCCCATGGGCCTTTTTTTTCTTTCCTCTCATTTCCCAAGTACCTTATTATTCACAAGTTCCCAGGGTCCTAAGTGAGTAACGGAACCTCTAGAAGGAATCATCAACTAGGAACAGACAGACTTCAGAGCAAGGTAAGGGAAGGAGGCACGTGGGATAAAGAACACCACTTAGCCGTCTTGTTTAATTTTGCAGCGGTGGAAAAGGGAACCCAGAGCCTACACTTGTTATAAACAGGGCCTGAAGCTGCTTTAAACAATGGGACTCCACAGAAGGTTTTAAAGCTTCTATCATGTATATTACATGCACAGTAAATGAAAACCTTCAGTTTTTTTCCCCAGTATCCATTTCTAATATGCAGTTCAGTGAAGGTGTTGGTCTTATCAGTGATACTCTTCTCACAGGCCAGCAGACCAGTCCCCTGATTAAAAGTGTGCTTGAAGAAAGACTTAGGGATTGAGTACATTTAAGCAAACTTGGTTATAAAGGTGCTGAATTCCACGATAACAGTCCCAGCTATTACCATAGAGCCGCCCCCCTACCCTAGGCCCCAAGTTTGGTGAAGACGGGGCATGCTGGGAACGAGTCGCCACCCAACCACTCAGTTTTACGTGGAGCCTTTTCCCAGCTCTGGGACCCGTCCTGTGTCTTCCTCGTTCCTCTTCCCTCTGAGCAGGGAGGATTTTCCGTGGCTGTGGGTCACAGGGCTGCCCTTCTCAGCGGGCCGCTGTGCACGACACAACTCCAGGGGCTGCTCTCATCCACAAAGACGACACGAATGACACTCCCGAGGCCTGGAGCCCGTCGCTCCAACAGCAGCATGCTCAAGTCCCCATGCTTGTGTCCCGAAGTGTCGGGCTGTAAGTACCACTGTCTAAGGCAGCAGTTGTGCAACAGAGTATCATCACAATTGAGAAATGTATTCTAAGTATTTTGTTAGTAATATGGACATTCTGAAGGCTTGATACAATTGACTTTTTAGGTATTAGAGCGGACTCAAGATTATACCTCTAACAGTGTCACTCTCATTCACATTTCAGTAACTTTTTGAAAGGCCAAATAGCCAGTACGTCAGGAGTGAAACATGGGATATGCATTATTTACCATGCATGTCTTGGCAGGGAAAACAAAGTGAAAACTTTTAGTCTGATATATGGTGTGCTGAAAGGTTACTTAAAAACTTCAGGATATGTCCCCAATTTAATTAATTTCATAAATCCTTATGTCATTGATTCTAATAAACAGGCAGTTATTGGAATTAGAAACTCCAAGTTTTCAAGTGTCTTTGCCATTGACTAGCTCATTTAGTTTCAAGTCCTCATTTGGGGTGCTGGTTCGCTGCCGGCCACAGTGCTGGGGTCAGAATGCTGGAAGCTTTATAGGACCAACTGATGAGACAGCCTTGGCACATGTGAATAATTGCAGTGCCAATGGTAATTTTGAGGAACCTGGGAATTCATCTTCTTCATAAAACAGAAAGAGATTATGTTACCTGAACAGGCATAATGCCTGCATTTGGGATCGCCTACATGCCACGCACTGTGCCAAGCATTAGGCTATTAGTCTTCACAATTCTATGTGGCAGAAATGAGGACCACCATTCTCCATATGAGAAACCAGAGGTGAGGGAGAGGCTGGCCCATCCATGGTGACATGGTTTATAGTCAGTGCAGCTGCCTGCCTCGTGTCCAGGGCTCTTTCCGTACAGTCGCTCCGATTCTGTGATCTGGAAAGACATGGTACCTCCATAACCTCTACCACCAGCTTTCACTAAAAATGACTTTGAGAACATATGTATTCCTCTGGCAGTGGTGACCGTTTTATTTCGAATGGTATGGCAGATTATTACCCATGTTCATCAAGAGCCAGTACTCATCTACTTGTGGATACAGGGTGGGTTATATTTTTCCAACCTTTTGAAGTTAGGTAACCATGTGACAAGTTCTGGCTACTGAAGTGTGAGTAAAAGAAAAGCGTGTCGCTTCCTGGGTGAAGCACTGAAGTGCAGGTATCTGCGTCTCCAGGCCTCTCTTCCCTTGCATGGCAGTCATGGAAACCCGTTACCATGGCGGTGCCTCGAGAGCAAGGCAGGCTGAGGTGCGGAGCCAGCTTCCCTGGAGCCGTGTGAACCCATTTTATGCGATTTTACATGAGATAGAAATAAACTTTTGTTATTTTAAGCCACACATTTGGAGATTGTTTTTTTTTACTGCAGCATAACCCAATCTATTCCGATGGATATTAATGGTGAAAAGAATTACAAAATAGACATAAAGCATGCTCTGGTGCCCTTCAATGAGACACTAAATTTGGCTGAAACATGGTTTAATAAAAATGCAAAGGCTGGACAAAGGAGAAGAGGAATTCTGTGCAGATGTGCTTGAAGAGCTCTTATAACTACCTGGAACAAATGACCCACCATCCTTCCCACCTTCAGGCCGCTCAGCACATCAATTAGTCCCATTGTATGACACTGCTTCCTGGGGAATCAGAACATTTCTAGGCGTTTTCAATGAAATAGTATAGGAACGGTGATCAGCATGGTAAAGGGTATTTTGGGGGGCAGGTCACTGTTCTATGTCTACTTGATTAAACTGAGCAGAACTGGCTTACTTTAGACAGCAGGTGCTGGTATCTTTCACGTCTGATTAGGCCTGCTGATATCCACATGGATCCTGAGGTATGTTTGAACAGCCCATATTATTTACTTAATATTCAACGGCAACATGAATAAAATACTCTCAACTTCTTACTTTCTAAGTTATTAGTACTATCATTTAGGTCAAGGTCAGACAAGCATCTTCACTTTCTCCTAAACCCTCACTGTATCACATGCATGAAGTCTAGAATCTGTAGTAAAGTCAATTGATTTAAGAATAAAAGTGGAATGTGTACCTTTTTGAGAAATACAATCCCTGAAGTACTCATTAAAATGGCCAATTTTAACAACAGGGCACAATTCAAAAGCCAAAGCTTTCCGTTAATGTAAGGTAAACTGTGCAGCAGTGACGACCCGGGAGCGTGTTAGAGCCAGGGCCCACTCTGCTGCTAAGACTCAGCTCAGTAAGGACAATTTATAACATGCTTCTTGATTTAAAGTGCTAACAGGTCAGGTTCTCAGAGGCGCTTCTAAAATGATTTCAGTCAGGCTTCATTTTCAGTAACTGCAACATTTTGGGATGTTTTTTCTCTGCCAAATAAATGACAGTAACTGTACCTACCTCTTACTGTCAGGCTTCTTCCTAAAAGCTTTGTATTTTACTGTATTAAATACTTCATAAAAGCTACCAACCTGATCACTATAATTTTTGTATTTTAACCTAATGACCCTGCTTCACTGGATGAAAGTGCGCGCGCACACACGTATACACAGGACCTACTGCAGCTACCATTTCATGACTTTTTAAAGGCCCTGCTGATAGGTTGTCACAGGAGAGTGAAAGTAGCCGATGGCTCCATACTTCTGTTTGTACATTTATGTTTACATTGTAGAGAAAGTTACAACTTTTTAAAAATAACACATAAATGAAAGAGTACATAAACCAGCCAGAACAAAAGAATTAACGTGT